GGAGGACCTTCAATGAGGTAACAAACTATTTTATGAAAATTGACAGAGTTCGACAAATATATTATAATTAGTGAATTTAACCGCGCTACGCGCGGTTTTGATAATTTTTATTCAAATATATCCAATAAAATTTACGTACAAATCAAACTTCCAATTCAATTATTTTTTTAAAAGACCTTTAATTTATATATTCTTCTATGATTTATTATCACTTAAAAGTTTTAAATCTTCTATAGATTCTCATGTAGTGTACTTATAAGTGAAGAAAAAATAATTATTTTTCTTAATAGGAAATAGAGAAAGAAAAGAATTTCAAGAAATTTTGTATATATTTTAAGCATATAAATAAAATCATTTTTAAACCTTTTTTTTAATAAAAAAGAACCATAAATACATATAAAAATATATTTATCAAAAAAGAATAAAAAAATAAGAACCACAAAATGCATTGTCTATATCGATTTTCTGAACATTGAGACTAAGTGAATCATAATAAATTTGGAGAAAATCATCATTATACTATTTTTTTTAATAAACCAACAAATAATATAAATTATCTTACAAATTTTTTTTTAAAATATTTAATTGGACATTCTCTATATGTATTTGGAGCTTGTGTTCTTTAGGGTGTGAGTCTCTTCATCCTCTCTCTCTTAATTGATTTATCATATGCTCATATATTCTTTTTAATGTAGTATAAATTGTTACTTATGTTTGATTGATCATTGTTCGGTCCACTAAAAAAATTGTAAAATATGTATGAATTTCAACTTCACTGCATTGATATATTTGTAATAAAAAAGTTAAGTTTTGCCTCTAATTTTTAAATCAATGAAACATAAAAATAGCTTTCAAAATTATATTGTCAATTAAGAAGAAAAATGTTTATGAATTTGTAGAGTATATGCATTCTCCATTTAATTTTATTTCTTATATTTTGTTCAAGAGTTAAATTATATGAAGTTTCACCCATATTATATTTAATATGATTTTTTTTAATCATATTAATATGAGAAACATTGAATCTTATAGTATTTTTCGTATAGATTTCAAAATATTTAAATTTTAATTCTAAAACAGTGAATTAATCTGATTCAATTGAGCATTAAGAATAGTTAAATTAACCATAAAAATATAAAATATGATAAGTAAAATGAACGGAAACAATAATTACTTTAGAATTCAACATTGAGGTAGATGTTATAGATCGAATATATGAGACTCCTTGATATAGATTATAACACACAATATAAAAATTCATCAAATATTGAGTAAAAAATATTTTACTAAAGAGATTCTAAAGTAGTTCTCAACCAAAAGAATAAATCAATTATTTAGTAATTGAAATAAAATATGAGACTTTTTGATTTATCAAAATATCAAGATTTATGCCACAAAATATCAAGATTTAAATGTTGAGTAAGATTAATAAAGAGATTCTGAAGTAGTTCTCAACCAAAACAATACATAACTTAATTTGGTCATAAGAATGAATTCGTTTTAATATCCTAAAAAAATTTAACACATACAAATAAATTTTATCAAAATAGAATATCTAATATCACATGAATTTCTCAAGATAAAGTATGAAGATGCAAATTAAAAATAAAATACTGTAAAACTGCAAAGTAAAATTGATATTATTCCTTTGAGTGCTCTATTTGATAACATGTAATCCTACCCCAATTTAGTATAAAATAATATTAAAAAAATTATAAAAAATATATTTGAACAAACTTACCATACATATCACACATTTATTTTTGACTTTTTTGTTTGTATAAATTAAACATTCTAGTCTTTTAGGCAGAAACCCAACGACTTGCAAAAGTGAAGCTTCACAATTACAAATAATAAATAAGGAAAATAAAAGAACATAAAGAAATATAGACATAAGACATTGAATATCTTAATTGCTCAATTTAATTGGATTAAAATTATTCTTCAATATTCACCCATGAAAAAATGAGCAAAATCAATGTAAAAGGTAAAATTTGTTCTTGGCTTTAGAAGTATGCCACATCATCTCTCATACGATAACACTATAAGAAGAAAGCTGAAAACAGAAATTCAAATAACATATTTGTAGTTTACTTTTTGGTACATATAGTACAATAGAATTTTTTTTAATTTAAAATTCATGGTGAACTTTAAATAACAAATTACTTAAAAAACAAAAATAAAATAGCAAAAAATCTTAAGCACTTCAACTAATATATATAAAATTAGGAAAACAACATAAATTTGTTACTCATCATATGGAGGATAAAAAAAATGTGAAAGACACCATTTTTGTGCTATACATATTGTGAAAATGCACAAGTACCCCCCGAATTTATGCCCAAAATCCCAGAGACACACTTATAAATACTAAGGTTTCATTATCCCTCTAAACTTAGTTTATAGGTAATTTTGTACCTCTTTTCGGCCTACGTGGCACTAGCTTGAAAAGTCAAACAACATTGGATCCACAAGATAGTGGCACGTAGGCGAAGAAGGGGTAGAAAATTATTAATAAAATAAGTTCAGGGGTAATATGACATTTGTATAGTATAAATGTGTCTCTAAAATTTCAGACATGGATAAAGGGGTACTTGTGCATTATCCCATACATATTCACTATAAGTATGTAACTATGGCAATGATGGATATAAATATTTAAAATAAATAATAATAATAAGTAATCAAAGATTTTAAAAATACTAAAATTTGAAAGAACCCATTTATATGTTATTTAAGAGCAATAATTAGCTTGAATGGGATGGATGAAATAGCCTAAGAAAATATGAATTAAATTAGGGACTTTTGAGTAAAAAGAAAATTAATTTTCTACATAGCATACGTAACATAAGTTAAGAAAATTATAAGGAGTGTCTTTTTTTTATAAACATTACACATTATTAATTATACAATTTTTTTTCTATTTATTTATTTTTAATAATTCTTTTAAAATGACTATATATAAAAAAAAATGTATAACTAATAATGTGTAATGTTTATAAATATATATATATATATATATATATATATATATATATATATATATATATATATATATATATATATATATATATATATATATATATATATA